GGCCTCAGCAGATGGCTGCTCACACTGAGCCTGGTTCTGCTGGAGGTTTCTTCCTGTTCAAAGGGAGTTTTTCCTCTCCACTGTCGCTACAAGCATGCTTAGTGTGAGGGATTGCTGAAGAGTCAATGAGTCGATGCAATCAGCTGGTTTTCCTTAGATAGAAAACTTTGAATCAATCTGACTGGATGACCTTTTTGATCTGGATCTATAAAGTAAACTGAGATGACATGATGTTAATTGGCGCTATAGAAATAAACTAAATAGAATTGAATACCAATAGACTGTAAAAACAGACAGAATCAGCTCGTCTTCCTCACCTTTAAAATGAAAGATGATGTCAGAAATTCCTACAGATTCACCAACAGGTGGGATTCCTCATAAAGATCAGCCTGAGATCAAGCTGACTTTGTTTCTGGGATGATCGCTGTATGTCAGGCCTTTGGCTGTCATGGTAACGACCATGTCTCTCTCTCTCTGGATGTCTAACGTCTCTTCTTTTCTAAATGTTCAGTCTGCTACTCATAAGAAAACATTTGAATCAGTTAAAACATGATATTCTGAGCAGCACTGCAGGTTAAACTGTTCTAGAAACGTCCTCAGAGCTGCTGGCAGATCAACGCCTCCAGGAAGGAACGGAGAGATCTGATAGAGAAACATCTACTAATAGGCCGGAGGATCCAATCTGCTTCGTCTCTAAACAAACAGTTTTCCTCCAACCATAGATCCTTTAATCCTTCCTCTGACCTGCAGCTGGACCTGGGAAACGAAGCTGAATAATTTATCAGGTCTCATTGTGCTCAGATGGAGACTAAGTATCGCGCTGCTTAGAATAAAGGTGGTATTTAAGCTAACCGGGTTCATATATGTAGTAAAGAAGCGACTCTGCTCTAAACAAGCCTCCTGGTTTTTCCACAGCATCTATTCCTGGATTTATTGGTAAATATTAGTGCAGTGAGTGGAGCACAGGGAGATTTTTTTACTGTCTTCTGGAAATATGACAGCTGCTCAGTTTAAAGCACCCGGACTTTACTTAGCCTAAAATAAACAATCCTAGCTCCCTTTTCTCTCCTTTATTTTATGTCACCAGTCAGTTTGAAAGTGAAGATTAAAATATGCTTCGCTGCTGTGATGTTTCTGCTGACAAACTGCGAGTAAAATCATTTTAATTGGTAAAACGGTTATCAGATGACAGCAGCCGCCTCACAGAAGGTTTCTCCCTTTGGAGCGGATCTAAGAGCCTCTCCTTGGAGGGAACCGTCCCTTATTGTTGGGGAGAGAGAAGAAAAGCATTAAGGAGCAGATGAGGAAAATGCCACTCAGCAGGAAGAAGCAGATTCGGTGCAACTCCCAGGATTTGTTTAGCATCCTGAACATTTCTGCTCCTCCATTAATGCGACTCATAGAAATGTCAAGTAAGATAATCCGTCATCTTTTGCAAACAAACGCAGGAACGTGGCTGCAGGCAGCTCACCATGCTGCTGCTGCTCAGATACCTTTCTAATGAATAAACAACACGTCTGAAGCCGAGTTCCCAGCAAAAACACAGGAAGCTGTAAAACGGCGATGCAGCTGACTTCATGGAAATGATTCAACTGGCTGAGATAACAGGAGGGCGTCAGAAACAGCCGGGCTCAGGCTGAACATCTAATCCTATAGAGAAGCAGCACATGACTCACTGCGCTCAGTGGGAACACAATTAGAGCGCAGGACACACATGCACTGTGAGGAGAACACACACTGAGCTTCTTGGCGTTTCTTTGGGCTGCGGAGGGCCAAGAAACACCAAAACAGCTGTGGCCCCCAGCCAGGCCCTAATCTATTGGAGCCACAGGTTGAGCTGCTCCGACGACTTTAATCACTCAGGCTGAAGGAAAACAGCTCAGCTGACTTAAATCTGGCTTCAGTCAATCAAGCGTTTCCAAACATGAGGATGGATATTCCTGTGGAGTAAAATCTGCTTCCTGATCTTCCTGCTATAACCCAGTGAAAAAGGTGAATGTCTGACGTGGATCATCTATAGCTGGGCTGCTCGCTGCTCCAACGC